TCTGTCTTGTCAGCAGGCTGGGGTGTCTATATACTAGTTCCCTGCTTCATGTTCTTGTCCATCTATACTCTTCATGGCTGTGTGCTCTTTCATCTTTCACGCTACTTATAACACTTCGTATTTAGCATCGGCTAAGACTTCTATCATCGTCCATGGAGCTCCGTGCTTCGTGTTGCTCTTCTATCCCATCGTGTACATAGTGTGGGTCGGTGTTCCTTCGTGTTTCGTGTTCTTGCTTAGTCACGCACCTCCGCGCTAACTTAATCACAAACGCTGTTTCCATTTTGTTTGATGCACGCAGCATATATTGTTGGAAAGTTTACACAATATCTTAAGGTCGTACACTACGCGCGCAAATACAAAGGAATATGATACTTTTTCTCGAGGGCAGTGTGGGGTGCAGGGGTGTAAGCCACAAAAGGCATATATTAAAGTTTTCACATTATTACTCATAGTCATACAATTGGTATGTATTATCAACCGCTGATATAATTATTATGTGTACTACTACTACAAATAACAGGAAGCAAAAATATGAAATGTCTTGCTTGATAATAGTACTACTCAAAACAGTATTGTAAGTTTAATTATTAGAAAAGTACTACGAATCCCAAAACATCATTCTAAACCAATAAGTACTAAAGTTTCGATTGAGGCCGAAATATAAGTCGCCAAAGCCTATAATTTTTTAACAGCACCTACGACGATCGAGTACGTGTGTGCTCATCGGCGCCTTCTACTAATGCTAGCTAACGCGCACATAGGCAGCGCCCTTTGTGTGGCCTTGCAAACCGCAGGAGCATTAAGCGGTCCTGTTAGGTACGATGTGTTGTCCACATACAGTGTGGACAAAACACAATGTTGATTTTAGCCAATGGGGGCCGCCTTTGCTGCGCTCGGCAGCTTTTTAGCGAATTGAGGTGCGCTCGGCAGCCAGTAGATTAGCGTGAGTTTTATTAGCCCTAGCCCGTTACGGACGTTACAGACTCAACACACCCAATACTAGTGGGTGTGTACAGCCAATCGTCCTATCTTCTCTCTAGTGGGCCACTAGAGGGGTAAGATATTAATAGGACGATTGGCTGTACCTTCTGCCTCACTAAATGGTAACTTCAGTAATTGGGTGGTTGCGGCTACAGTACTGCTTTTAATGTTACACTCTGCAAAAACATATGGATTCTTCTGAAAGGCGATCTGTGCCTCCCTAGATTACCTCCAAATCCGATTGGGGTTCTGTGATTATCGTCTCCATAGATTACCTCCAAATCCCAAAAATCAGATAAAGCTGGTTCACACATATATGCAGATTTGCGCAAGGCCATCGTTTAGCTTTAATAATATTTACTATTTATAATAACGCAGGTGATTTTTTTATTCGAGTGCTATAACTGAGGGTTTGCTTCCAATGCTGCGAGGTACTTACTTGCTAGTCTGCTCGTACTATGCAAGTGCAGTGTAGTGTTACTGATCAGTAGCAATTTGTACAAATATAGTACTGTGATTCAGTGAACGTTGTGCAGTTGTGAATTGACTAGCCGAGCGTCGCCGCTACGCGGAGGGTAAAAATGAATGTCGTTCCTTGTGTTTGCCTCCGTTCCGCTCGCCATGGCCTCGCTTCAATACTCGTGCAGTAGATTGGCACCGATTTGCAGCCTGTGGAAATATTTAAATAGTTTTATCCAATGATTTGTCCGGAAAAGCGAACGACAATTTAGTGTGACGGACAGACAGGTTGCTGCATTTGATAAGACTAGCCGAGCGCCGCCGCTACGCGGCGGTAATTTAGGTTTTACTCTAGATTTTTGCCTTCCCGCCTTCGCTTCGCTTTGGCGGGATAATAAGTCCAAATCCTCTGAGTCCCCCATGTGCCTAAATCGACTTCTTTATTTTTATAAATCTGCGTTTCTTTTGCTACAAATTGCTGAGCTCCCAGTAAGCCGTGTAAATATTTCTACCGGTACAAAAGACTGAGACCCTAGCATCATACTTACCATGCTCATAAACGATTACGCTAGTGATCTTGGCAAAGTCTCTTTGTTGTTGTTGGCGATCACTGTACCTTAATCTTCCACCCAGAAGCACCTGCACTTCAGTCTAAAAACGCTAAATAATATATTTAGTTTAGCGTCGTGATCGATTTCACGGGCCGTTTCTGAAACCTAGATTGCAACAATGCAAAGAATATCTGTCCAGCTTGCATCAAATACCCGCTTGTACTGCCTGGTTAAGCTTGTAATAAACTGACTATTAACCACTTCGCATACCAAACTCGCTACTTTGAAAGAAAATTAAAAGTGTAACAGTTTGAATATTTAATAAAAATATTCAGGCTGTAGCATTTTCTTATGCATTGAAGTGTGTTCATTTTGTGCTGATTCAGAATTAGTCATTAGACACCTCCAATCTGTGCCTGTTATGGTTATACTGTAGCCTTTGGATATGACGATGCGTCGCACGACGCCTTTTGGTGACGGCGGTATTTTTATTTTGGAAACTTAAACCGGATGGATTTCCAGGAATGGGTTAAAACCGGTAAA